GCTTCCCCCCAGCTGGCCATCCACATGGCTCCCTCCCTTCTTCCAGGTCTCAGCTTAAATGTCACTGTGTCGGTGAGGCCTTCCCTGGACCCTGGTTCATGAGCAGCCTTCCTCCCCGACCCAGGTACTCACTCCGACGGCACAGCACAGCGCTTGAGAGCGTTTGACCTCTCTGTGCCTCGGTTCCCCCATGATTAACAGCTACACTGTGGATTTGAAAGGATTACCTGAGGGTGTGTGTGGGGGGGTGACACGTGCCTAGGACAGTGCCTGGAACTGAGAGTAAGCACCATGTGTTAGCTCTGAAAATCTAAATATGACCTAAAACAACTTTGAAATAAAGCTTTTACCTAATGCATTTCATTGCATGGCAAAGCTTAATCTTCTAGACTCAGCTGGTGGCAAAAGTTGACCTAAGCTGACATGAGGCTACTTGTAACACTGAGAATGTTAACAGATGGTATATGTACCATATGATACCTTTCTAACCTTCAAATATTGACCTATATCTGGTCCCAAAGATTTTGAGTAGGACTGGCATATTCAAATTTATTTTTTCTCTGTAGCACTTATCACCATTTGCTACTATATAAAGAAACTTGTCTGTTTTTTGCGTAACTCCCACATGATAACATACAGTCAATGATTATGTTCGATGATTGTACTCCCAGCACCTGGAAGAGTGCCTGGTCTATAGTAAGTTCTCAATAAATGTTAAATGCGTGGTTAAAATAGAATGTGAAACACTTCTCTGTGGTAGAAGAAAAATTATTTCACGGAAGATGGTGACTAGTTGCTCTTTAGGCTTGGATCCATTTCCTGGTTTCTCTTTTGATGACCATGACCACCCCCATCTCCCTACCAGCCACGCCCCAGACCTCGGGATCACCTTGGGAGCATCTCCTGCATTCACTGTTACAGCCTCCGCCCTGGCCTTCCTTAGCTTCCTCACTATCGGAGCAGGACCGTGCTCCCCTACACGCCGGGTACTGGGTGTGCTGTGTAAGACAGACACAGACTTCGCTCAGAGTCTGGAAGGGAAGCTGACGATTACACAGGCAACCACGCCGAAAGGGGAAGAACACAGCACACAGAAGGACCAGGGCGGTACGGAAGGCCCTGGGCTCAGGACCCAAGGAGAACCTCAGTGATGTTTACGCTGAGAACCGAAAGATGGTTAAGGGCTTGTGAGGTGGAAATCTACTTAGGCAGCGTAGTCAGAAAAGCATCACGACCATAATTAACCAATATGCATACCACGAGCTGTTTCATAAAACCATCGTCACGTCGTTCTACCGTGACTTCCACGAGAGCAGGAATCTCACCTCTCTCTATCCCTCTGCCCGGAGCTAGCAGCTTTGCCCATGGGGTGGGGGGTCGGGAGTCGGGGGGCAAACACTCGCTGGGGAACGGATGGAGCTGCCTCAGCTCTGCAGTCTTACTCCGCAGGCTCTTGTGCGGACTGAGACAATGCAGTAAAACGCGAGAACGTTCTGCCACACGGCAGCTGCTTAACAAGGGTCAAGTCTCCCCCACCCCTTTCTGCCCCCATAGAGCAGAAGTGACTTTGTTTAATGTCCTAGCCAAGGCCTGACATTTTACCAGACTCCCCAGGTGACTGAAAGTCTGAGGTTCAAGGCCCGACGGCAGACGCTGAGGTCTCCGCAGTTCTGCGGTCGCTGTGAGTTTGCAGGTTGGGCTGCTACTGGGAAGTACTATTACCCTGCAAGTTACAGATGTTTCACGTGCTTATAAGGAAATCTTTAATTTATTACAAATACCATTACACCTAATAATTTTAATACTCAGGATTAAGCTTCTCTAAGCAGGGAAGCTTAGTGCCATTTGTTGAGCGTCTACTACTCCCTGGAGACAGGGCCTCTGTATTACTGGTCTCAAGAGTCTCAACAAAACCTACAGCATAACTTCACGCCCTGCTTTCGTACCTAAGGAAACTGGAGCTTGGCGAGGCGTACTCATTCACAAATGGGAAGTGGGGGAGTTAAAATTTGGGCTGGGATCTGCCTGACTCCAAACCCATGCTCTTCCCACCATTCCCAAGTGCATTTCCTTGACAGAGGATCTTTTGGGGGAACGTGTTCTATACAGAGTCCTCCCCCCGGCTACTCGCCCAAACAAAAACAGAGCCTGTTATCTACCTGCTCTTCGCATGAGCAGTGCCATCTCCCTTAGCTAAGCCACCATAACCTCTGCATCCTTCCCAGCTGGGCCACACACGTCCGCCCATTCCCAACGATCCGCTCTCCGTTCAGCAGCCTGGGTAATCTGGGTTATCACATATCAGACGACGTTACCCCACTGTTAAGCTCTCATATGGTTTTCACAGCACTCTGTGAATAGGAATAAAATTCCTATTCTGGCCTTCAAGGCCCGCTGTGACCTGGGCCGGCCTCTGCATGTCCACACTACCAACACTCCACATTCCACGTACGCTCTGACCACGGGCCTTTCCCCAGCTGTTCTCTGCCCAGAATGTTCTTCATGGGGCTGGCACCTTCACATCAATCGACTCAGCCCAAACATTACTTCCTGAAGGAGGTCTTC